TTTTTTTGTGAAAAAAACAGCGAAATTTTACCGGGAGATCGGAATGAAAATGTGCAGGAGTTCGTAATGACAAATACATGAAGGTCGTAATAAAAACTACAGGGTGTTCGGAATGAAAATGGCCGGATGTTCGTAATCATGTTGAGAGTTACTTTTGAGAGAATGTGAAGTGACACTTTTATCTTACAGTCTAAGATGGTAGATAAAGAACGTCTTGATGAACTCAAGCAGTCAAGATTGCTGTTCTTTTTACCATTGTAATTCTCGTGTTAGATAGTCTCACTAATTCCTTAAATGTTTTCGCTTACGAATATCAAGTTTTTTTAAAGAAAAAAAAGAAATTTTATTCATAAGTCTAGTACGAATAAACATCATCATGTTTTCTTCCTCTAACAGCAAAAAATAGAAAAATAAACAAACAAATCATTTTGACTATTTTCTATTGGAAAATAGTGGACGAACGCATAGAAGAACACTTACGTAAATGATATAGTATTACTAACATTATTATTACGTAAGATTTTCTTAGATAATTTTGAACAAGAATGATGAATAGGATTAGGAGGTGAAGGTGATGGTGATCTTTTTGACGTTTTATTAACTGGACGACTACGAGTTGATGATTCTGGTTGTTTGCTTATTTTATATGTAGATCTTAAAGCTGCTGCTGTTGATGTAGCAACTGAACTTTGACTACGAGTGATAACCATTAAGAATATTTGAAATTAAAGTAAATGTAGATTCAAACGAGGAAAAAGATTCTATTCACCTGAATTCTTATCTAGAAATAAGAAATAACAGCAAAGTACACTTTCTTCTTTGTGATAGAATATTTTTGTAGTCTATAATCTTCACTTCTTTATGAGAACTTAGCCTGGTTTATCTTCAATACTGAATCACTTGTATAGCCAATCATATCTGAACGAAAAGACTATTGAACCGTGGTCTCGTGATTCTAAGAAGAAATGCACTTTAACATACACACTACTTTGATTGGATAAATTTTTGGCAGAAAATTCTCCTGTTTTTTCTATTTATGAGTCTGAAGGTCTTTTTGGGTGAATCTCAATTACTCTCGTGAAAAATCAGAAAATTTGAAAACATGTGGCGCTACCTATAAAGAAAGCTCGAATTTTACTGAAAAACGGGCGAGATTCACCCAAAAAGAGCTTCAGAACCATAAATAGAAAAAAAAGGAGAATTTTCTATGAAAAATTTATCCAATCAAAGTGGTGTGTATATCAAAGTGCATTTTTCCTTAGAATCGCCAGATCACAGATCATATGGTACATACACTATTTAGTGTATCATTTGTACAGAAGCTACCGCCACCTACCAATTGTATGAATACATTGAAAGACGAAAATGTCTCCTGATATAATTATGAATGTGCTAAATAAAGGAACCCTATTCTTGTATAGAAAAACAGAAATAAAAGTCTTTATATCCGTTACGATCTCCCAGTGAATCTTTTTTTACGAAGTTCCGGTCAATGTTATTCCGATTATCTGGTTGTTTTTTTTGTAAAATGCATTATTCCGAACATCTGACCTTATTCATCGCGATCTCCCGGTGTTATATCAGATATACAAGAAAAACTGTATTCCGAACATCATGTAAAACCATTCCGATCTCCCTGTATTCTATTACGATCTCCTGGACACGACTCTTTACGAACTCCGGACATGAAAAAAAGTTAATTCCGAACATCCGGTCACATATCCGGATGTTCGGAAGAGGTGAGACGAAAGCTCACGCACCCAGTGAAGAATAGGTAGATGTTGATGCTCTTTCTTTCCAATTTATCTATATACCTAAGACTTTTTGAGGAATGACGAAGATTGAAACATTTCTCTATCATTATTTTAGTATTTTAGGATTTTTATCAATGACTACCGAAGCAAGAACTCTAGAGAGTATTTCAGAAGTTCTGAATTAATTTTGAATTTCCTCGCTCATGCGTTCAACAGAAAACAATTTTTTTTGTAGTTTTGATACATCATCCTACTGAAATCATACTAAATCGTAATAAAATTTTGAGATCGATAGTTTTGACTGTAGCTAAGGCTTCCTAACAACACTATTTTGAATCTTTTTATTAATTTTTAGTATTTTCCCGGTTAATATAGTTTAATTGCAACTAAACTATGACTAATTTTAGTCGCAAAAGGTTTCTTAAAATCTATCATTCATGAATATAATGAGACACTATTTTTTTTAATGTTTTTTTTTTCTATTGTTCAATAGTATCTTCTTTCCGTCTTCATGATTTCTATTTCAGTAAACACCAAATATTTTCTGTAGGTCAAACGTCGGTCAGCTTTGCAAAATAATATTCCAGTTACGAACCGTTAATGAAAATAGGTTTGATAAGGTCTCAGAGCGTATAAATCTTTTATTTACCATCTGATGCTCTAATGGAAAATTACAATTCGTCAATAAAAACTCGACATGGTTAAGGAAATAATGTTCTTCTAAGAAATACTGCACCATGATATAATTTTTTTCGAAAATTTTGGTTCTGCTCTTGTTTGGAATTCAGATAAAATATTATATATTGATTCAGTAAAATCTTTACAATATGTTGGCTATTTTATGAAATGAATACCAATGGATCGCTAAGGTGTGTCCAAAGAACGATTTTATTTTTAGAATTGAAATCTATTTATAATTCCTTTTTTTTTAAACCGTTCTGTCGTATAAATACGTTGAACATTTAGATCTTTATGTTTATTATCTTTTTATTGTACATCATTTAAAAGCAAGTCGGGTTTGAGGCTAAAGAAATCTTGCAATTTGTTTTCCCACCAATGATGAGTATAAATTTTTCAAAGTTTAAAACTTCAGAAATAAAAAACGGAACGTATTTCGATCGTTAATTGACGATTAAATTATTATAAAATTAGTGCATTGTTCAGTGTTCTTATAGTTATTTTTTTCGTAATCAAAACGATAGACCTTAAACTGTGTAGCTATTTAGTGCGAAAATGATACAATAATCTATCACAGTTACAATGAGTTTGCTTTTGTTGAATGCAAAAATAGTCAATTTTAAAAATTGTTACAAAATGTTAGGTATATCCTTTGTAGTCAATGAAATGGATTTTGATTTTGTGTGTCAAGATTGCTTAGTTTAAAAAATATTTCATGTGACTAGAATAATGATTATCGACATCCAAGAACAAATAAAAACAAGAGATTCGATAACTTTATACAAATAGAAAGCCGCACTATCAAACAACTCGAGCGGAATTTCAAATTTTTCAATCACATTGAATAGTTTCTTTTACATAGATTTCGAGAAAATTGCACATAATCGAGTGTAGATGAGTATGAATTATTTTTTCCACCACACATCCACACCATACGGAAATCAATTAATGAGAAATTCGAAAGAAAAGTTTTATGCTAATATCAACTAATGGAGCACTTAAAAAATGAGCTATACTAAGCAATAAAGAACGCTTTTTTATGAGAGAAAACATTTTGATGGTCACGTGAACTTCTTATCCATCTCGATTCTCAATGAGAAAAAAACACCACTAATACTCATGTACATATGCAATAATAAATCCATTAGAAAAGAATCGAGACAACAACAATGTTTCGAAGTCTTACCTGTTGTATTTCTTGTTTTGTTCGTTTTTTCAACACTAGAATTAATAGAGAAAGGTTAAATTGCCGTAATTGGAGAATTATAATACGTACCTTTTCTTACATTGCTGTGGTGATGCTGCTTGGCTTGAGAATACGCTAGCTACTCTTTCGGCAGTAAGAGCAACTATTTCAACTATCTTCGAGACATCAATGGCCGTTGCCTAGAAATACATATGATATATTTTCAATAGTTCAATTTAAGGTATTAAGAATAGTTCTTCAAAAGGCTAATATGGAACCTAGGAATCTGATCCAGAAAATATTGGTGAGTCAGTTCAACACTGATTCTTATTATTCAGATATCTAGATTATTCTTTGAAACCATCGTAAAGTAATTGTAATTCAACGCTATGAAACTTTCGAAAAGTCTCATAGAAGTATGTTTTTCCTCAATCACATGTACAACCGACGATAAAGGATGTCAAAAGTATGATTCCTTACTTTTTCACTTTTAGTTGCTTGGAGTTCAGAAGAGACATCTTTCATTAAAGTAAGAAGCTGTTGACAGGTTGGTCTCTTTACAGGTTCATGTGCCCAAGCTTTCGAAATCAGTTCCGCAAATGAATTGGGAACATTTGTAGGAATCTTCAGCCGATCTCCTCGTAGGACCAAAGCTCTGACTGTTGAATCATCTATCTTCCCGTATGGTTCACATTCTGTAACTAGTTCCCAGAGCACAACACCAAGAGCATACACATCACTAGCTGCTGTATGCTCTCCCATTTCCAGTAACTCGGGTGCTTTCCATGGTAAAGCACCGACCGAAGAATTGTAAGACGATTGACGCGATATTTCATGACTAATACTAGCAAAGCTAAAATCAGCAACTTTCACGAGAAAACTTTTCCCATTCTCTGTCATGAGAATATTGTGTGACTTGATGTCACAATGGATAATTGGTTTTGGAAGTTTATGCAAATAATTTATACCTTTGGTCATCTGACTGGCAATTGACAATCGATCAGACCATGTTAATTGTAATGCTTTTCGTTTTAGAACATCATAAAGAGAACCAAGAGACATGTATTCGACAATAAATGCATATTTTTTTGGTTCCATACAGGCGCCAAATATGTTGAGAATATGTTCGTAGCGGATACGATACATTATTGATATTTCATTGACAAGTTCACTTTTAACTTTTTCATTTAAATATTGAATTCGAATAACTTTAATTGCTACTTCATGATCACGAGAGATCCATCTTCCGTGATACACATCAGTAAAATCACCCTGTCCAAGACGTTTTTCTAGTATCAAATCGTAATACGGAATGTGGAGAAAAGCGTGCTCTTCTTCTTCGATCTGATGCCCAATAACACGGTCATTTATTTTGATAATATTTTTCTGGAGACTATACTTGAACGACATAAGTCGTTGGCTATTATTTTCTTCAATATGTTTGTAGTGACAAAGTTGTTCATTTTGTTTTTGTACCATCATCAATGTAATTTCATCAACTTTACATTGAATCTCATCTAGATCTGCCTTTTGATCTTTTTCATCTTGTTTCGGATCAAAAATCTGTTTCATATTGATTCCCAAATTGAGATCAGTAGCACATCGAGTAAGTTGAAGGTTCAATTCTTCGAATTTCTCTTTATAATTTTGACTGTTAAAAATCTTTATAAACCATGATGTTTTATCTTTAAACTGAATAATGAATTTCAGACATTCTTCTACGCAGCTACCATAGTTATTCAACAGTTTTTGAAGCTCTGCTCTTTGCAAGTCTCGATTATTCATCAATTTCAAGACCGAAGTAATAGCATCGATTCTTTCTCCGAGTCGTTTGCATTGTTGTTTATTTGCTTTGACTTCTTCGACGGTCTTTAAAATAATAGATGCCACTTGAACGATTCGTTCTAGAACAGCTGTTGGCTCCATATCAATCCAAATGAAAACTTAAAGCTGCTCTAAAGAACGAAAGACATAGTTTTATCATATCGGAAACATACGCAAAAAATAGTACATATTGAAATCCACCCTCCAGATGATTGAAATACGGCGGCAAACGGCCGAATCCGTTGAACTTGCAGTGATATCCAGCGAT